AGAGAGAGAGAGAGAGAGAAAGAGCACAAGACGGGGGAGCGGGAGAGGGAGAAGCAGACTCCCTGCTGAGCAGGTAGCCCAATGCGGGACTCGATCCCGGGACTCCAGGATCATGACCTGAGCCGAAGGCAGTCGCTTAACCAACTGAGCCACCCACGCGCCCCCTTGGTGGTGTTCTTGACTTTTCTCTCACTTCCAGCCTTGTAGCAAATCCTGTTCAATTCTGTCTTCAACATACTTCTTGAAACCACCCACTTCTCACCTCCATCACTGCTGCTACCCTAGTTCAAGGCGTCATGTCATCTCTTGCCTGAACCATGTAGCTGCTTCTGGTATCAGTTTCCACTCTTCACTTGAGTTTATTCTCAGCCTAGTAACCTGCATGATCCCTTTGAGACATAGTCTCGTCAGGTCATGCTCTCCATCACAATCCTACCATGACTTCTCATCACACTTAGAATAAAATCCCAGGTCTTCGTCATAGTCCTGCTTGATCTGGCCCCTGACTCCCTTGCTGGTCTTTCTTACAACTTTCCTTCCTTTCTTGGGCTCCTGGCCATACTCTGGCCCTGCAGAGCACACATCACTGGCTGACACTGTAGTGTTTGTTTACTTGGGTTTTGTTTGCTATCTGCACTAGAGGGTAAAACACCACCAGGGCATGGACTTCATCTCGTCACTGCTATAATCTGGTGCCTAATCCTTGATGGTGACAGGTTAATTGTTGGAGCTTGTATGTGTACGTGTAAATGAAGGAACCTGGCACCATGATCTCTCCTTAGAGTATTTCCACCTTCTCACAGTCAACTTTCATCTCTCTGAAGACCACCTGACCTGGCTAGATCTCCTGCCTTGCCACAGGAGCCACCGTCAGTGGTAGCTGGAGGAGTTCCTGTTGTCAAAGTAATGCAGGGGGCCATGTTTTTCTGGCATCCCAGTGAGATCTCTGACTACCTCATCTGATAGAAAGTAAAGGTTCTCTCCTACCGTTGCTGCTCTAGCTCAGGTACTTTGTGGGCTAGGTTGAGAATCTAGCTAGCCTGTGTAACATCGCTTCTTTGGGAAGACCATGGCATCAAACCCACAGTACAGTTGGTTTTACCACCTCTCATCTTCCCTTTGGTCCATAATGAAGATTCAGCAGAAGTTTATTGACTGTATAACCTCTTTGTTAGGTACCAAAGTACTTTCATATATATGACCCGTTTTAAACCCCGTGCGGGGCAGGGGGGGAGCTTATTGAAAGAGCATTTATTACATTGGGCTCTTTCACTACATAGTCTCATGCTACAGAGGGATTGAATACTGTGTCAGAAGCTCACAGTTAGTAAGCACTGGGCCTAAAACTCCAGGGCTGTGTTCTTTCTAGCTCATCACAAATAGTATCATGTTGTTTCCCAGCTCAGAAATCTTCAGTGGTTGTCAGTTGCCAGCAACATCAAGTCTAGATTGGGGGGTCAACAGCCTTCTGTGTGAAGGGCCAGATAGTTTTTTGGATTTGAGGCCATAGTGGTCTCTGTTGAATCTTCAGCTCTGCCTTTGTAGCAGCCATAGACAATGAGTGTATATGGCTATATTCCAGTTGAGCTTTTTATTTGCAAGAAACAGGTGATGGTGGATTTGCTGATCTCCCTGGCCAGATTCCTGTTTGGCGCTGAAAGACCTCTACATTCCTAGCCTGTTGTAGTCTAGTCCAGCATAGTAGCGTTATCTGCGCTTACTCACCATCCTTCGAGCACCATGATTTTAGTTCTTTGCTTTTGTTAGTACTTCTGTCTGCTTCACCAGATCTGCATGCATGTTCTCAAATGGTCAGTTGAGGTTGTTTGCCATAAAGCCTAATCATTGTGGTCAGATACTCAGTGCCCTTTTGAACTGCTCTAGTACTGCTGTCTTCCCTCTGACTTGAGTGCTCTTTGCGTACTAAGAAGGGGAGATTAGGCCTTGGTTCTCATGTGTGTTCAGCTGTCATGGCAGACCATGAGTAAAATATTTAAATTAAATATCTATCCTGATGTCTCTGTTCTCTTTACAGGGAGGGCCTTCCTTGGAGCAGAGGTTTGAGTCCTACTACAACTACTGCAATCTCTTCAACTACATTCTTAGTGAGTTTGAGGTTTGGCCGGGGTGTGAGGCTACGATGAGGCCTAGTGTTAGCCTCCAGCTCTTTTTAGCAGGATTTTAACATGGGAGTGGGAAGGAGGGATGTCGCATGATTCATAGTTCTTTCAAGAGAAAAATTACAAAATGCATTCTGTAGGCTTACTAAGTGAGCATAGTCATTGCTTTGCGTCTGACTTTTCTGTGATCTCTTGCACAGATGCTGATGGTCCTGCTCCCCTTGAACTACCCAACCAGTGGCTCTGGGATATCATTGATGAGTTCATCTATCAGGTATCTGGTCAGCCTTGGTCTAATTTGAAATAACTAGTCCAACAAAAGAGCAGCTGTTATCATTGTTTGCGTTGTTAAAAACATGCTTGGGATAAAAATGTCCCATCACTGTGGGAACTATTCCACTGTGGTGGTCTTTGATGTCATGGTTTTCTGAAGAGCTAGGCCTAAGAGCTCTGGATATGAGCTTGGAAGGCAGCAGAGTTGAGCTGACTTGAGAGTTGATCTGGTTAGAAAAATAAAGGCGTCATAAGCTTTGGAGTCAGTTACTTTGTTTTTAAGTCTATATTCTGTTTCTGAAGAATAAATCTGAGGGACGCCTGGGTTCTTGGTTGAGTGGCCAACTCTTGATTTTGGCTCAGGTCATTATTTCGGGGTCCTGGGATCGAGCCCCGTGTCTGCTGCATGCTCAGAGTGGAGTCTGTGCACCTGAGCCCTCTCTCTCTTAAATAAATAAAATCTTAAAAAAACAAACCCAGAACAATTGAATTTGGAAAAATACTTGTTTTCCATGAGTTTTATGGGGATGGTATAACTCTCACTGGGTATTTCAGGAGAAATGAGTTTGTTAATAAAGCTGTTATTTGAGCTGCACAGACCAAAGAGACTTACAAAGTGCTGGCAGATTGCGATTGGTATGCTGAAAAAGCCCCCCTAAGGCCCACTGAGAGAGAGGCTTATGAGGCTTCAGTGCCTTTGCACAGAGAAGGCCAAAAACCACAGTGGCCTTGTTTGCCTTTTCTGGCTCCTTGGTTTGTGTCAGCCCCTTTGGCATAATTTTAGAAGGTTGGTGGTCCTGTTGACTAATAGCAAGTCAAAGGAGGATCATCTGTGCTAAGGTTCTTCATCCTTCTTAAGATTATCATAATCCCTTGGGTTTAGCTGGTGTTCTCTTAAGGGGCTTAAAGTGCTCTCACTCTAGCAAAGACTGGCCTGCAAGAGCCAGGTGTGATTCCTCCCGGCCAGGTAGATGTCACACGGGGTAAGTGGCTTTTCCCTGCCACTCCGCTTTCATTTATTTTTATCAGTACAGGTAATGTGTGAATGTGTCATTACTGTTTAAAAACTTTGTGTTTTTCAAACTGCAGATAAAGTTTATTTTTATCTTTATTGTTTTTAAGATTATTTTCTTAGAGTGAGCGCCACAAATGCGCCCGAACCTCTGGGGAGAGAGGCATAGGGAGAGGGAGAAGCAGACTCCCCGCTGAGCAGGGACCCTGATGTGGGGCTTGATCCCAGGACCCTGGGATCATGACCTGACCCGAAGGCAGATGCCCAACCCGCTGAGCCACTCACGTGGCCCCAAACTGCAGATAAAGTTTAAAGTGTCTTCCTTGGGGCGCCTGGGTGGCTCAGACGTTGGGCGTCTGCCTTCGGCTCAGGTCATGATCCCAGGGTCCTGGGATCGAGCCCTGCATCGGGCTCCCCGCTCGGTGGGAGGCCTGCTTCTC